ACTATGTCCCACCCACCCCAATTTGAACCCCTAAAAACAAGTTTGAGTAAGTTACTATGGTAAACTTAGATTTATTTGCTCCCCCCACCTCCCCTCCACCCCCGGGTGCGAGTTGGATGCATTTTGTTTTTTGCAAAATTTACAGATTTTTGAGGCTTTTTATACAGGTAAACGTCCGAAGAGGTTGRCATGTATGGGACAACAAAATACAGACTTGTTGTTATTGAGTTTGTCAACACAAACCGCTACCTGAGAGGCACTACTAGCCCCTCCCCCGTCAGAGTGTCAAAGCAGGATGAGAGAGGGTGGGGGCGATTGCTGCATTGGGGTGGGGGTGTGTGTTATGGGCAGAGTAGTTTATTTTTCCTGTAATACTTCATTATAGTTTTTAAGACAAAGCTAATTGAAAGGAGCGCTGAGCAGAGTTACAACCAGGGATTACAAATTAATTTTTTTTCTTCTGCCGTTTGGCGCCCCCTCCAGCAGTTGGCGCTCTAGGCGTCCGCCTAGTTCGCCTATGCCAAGAGCCGGCTCTGTTTATTTATTTATAAACAGCCTGAACTTGTTTCTCACCAAGGACTCCCACTGCAGACACCCACCCATTCATACACACTGATACTGTGCATGCTCACAACCCACACAAACAGGTGTTTAAATCCTGGGTTTAGTTGGTCTCTGATTGAATGGAATGTGCATATGTGTATGTATACTGAATGTGTATGTGTGTGTGTATGTAAACACACACATACACCGGCTGGCAAATCTTTATCTTTCTTTCTCTGACTCATCTCTAAGCCTGAGGGBRGAMYCAAAGTTCGTCCGTTTCTTTTACTAACCCGGACGGCTTTGAGCGACACACTCTTCTTCCTGATTCCAACCTAGGAAGACAGCTGGGATTCTCTCCAGAGAAACCTCAGTTTGGCTCACTCTTACAATACCAATGCATCAATGTATTGTTACACCCCTATAGTTAAAACAGCCGCGTGCAAATAAAAACTGATGTTCAGACACTGGTGGTGACAAAAAGCTGAGATCAGCAAGGGACTTTTTGGATGACATCACTTTCATTAATCGGGTTCTCAGATCTCACCTGGATCACCATCCAAACCCACATTTATTACATTTATTAGCTGCTCAAAGCAGATATTTTGCTTTTGCATTAATAAGCTTGTCATTAGTCAGGTACTTTCCTCAGCTTTGAGTTCTGATGTTACACGACATGGATAAAAATGTTTGTCCAGTCCTGGTCAGCTGTGTGTTGTGTGTGTAGTATGTGTACTTGTTTGACCTTTTTAGGACTGTTTCTGGTATAAAAAACCTTGTCGATGCAGTAGTCCTTTGGGGACCAGTCATACTCCATGTTTGGGTTGACTAAGGTGTGAACTGAGTTTACTTTAGGTTTAGGGTAAGAGCTCATGTTCAGACAACAGAAACAACTGGAAATGAATGGAAGTCAGTGAATGGTCCTAATAAGAATAGAAATACAAACGTGTGTGTGAGAGCACAGACTCTTCTGACTAACACAGGGATGTCAGAGTGTACCTGACACTCCAACAGTCCTTATGTAAATAATGTGTTTTTCCTTAATGTCTTCAGTCAGAATTTAAAGTTTTGTCCTGTCAAAAGGTAAAAGGAGCTGAGATGCTTTCAGCAGGGAGGTTTTTGTTGTTGTCTGCCAACTGGAAAATGCCTTCTGGGTGCCTCATACAAGTTTAATGAGTCTCTTTAAAGGAAAAAAAAACTCCATTAAAAGCTACAAATAGCTTAAATTCACCAGAAACATTTCTGATGCTGCTAAACGCTTACTTCTACTTTAATTATAAACCAGGGCATTAATGTTTTTGCCTGTGTCTGCTAGCAAATAACTCATGAACCACTGGACAGATTTTAGTGAATCTTTCAGGAAATAAATATGGGATGTTCCTTTTTTTAAAGCAAATCTAGAAAATAAGACAAAGAAAGAGAAGAAAAAGGAGAAATGTAATGGAAAAGATTGAAAGAGAGATTAGAAGATATGTGAAATATACACCAAGAAAACACAGAGACACACAAAGACAATATACTCGACATCTGTCTGCATCGCTGCAAAGATGAAGGCAAAATACAGCAACAGAATACATGTGTATATAGTAATAATAATTATTTTAATCTTGCTGCAAATTATAGATGCATACATATACCCATATATACAGTGTATATA